GCCGCAGTCATCTCATCATCATCAGCCATCCATCCATCCATCGAGTTCAAGTTCAAGTTCATGCACACCATCATCTTTCTCGTCTGTCTGTCATCGCGTCATCGGCATCATCATCATTTCTCCATCATCCTATTTTATCCCCAACGACAACAGTAGCAGCAGCAGCAACAACAACAACGTAACATGGTAGCAGCGGCAATAAAAAAAAAACCCAAGCATGAACAAAACGACACCAGCATCCAAAAGAGCATCTCCATTTGTATCGTTCCTTTTACGCGCTCGTCAATGGGTGGCACAAAACACTGGAGAACGTGACTTCCCGTAGCCGGTTACGGATGATCAGTGTAATGCTAAAAAGGACGAACACCAGCGCCGCAGACAAACGAATTATACGACCAACACGTAACAATCTTTTTAAGTCAGTCCGCATCGTGCTCTCTTGCCGTGCGGATCTATTTGCTTTTTGCTGAAGGAAGTGTTACTACTACCTAAAGCTACAACAAATTTAAACAGCACTTTTCAGTGCTCAACCTGTAAAAATTTTCTACCTTGTTCAACTCTTATTCCTCTTCGATCCTTGTTTGGACCCTACCCGAGGTAATCCTTCTTGGATATCGATTTGGAAAATTCCTCTTCGATCCTTCAGATTCTTATAGTAATCTGCTTGGAAGTCGATCTGGATTAAAAATTTACTGCCGCCATGGCGCCTAAACGAAAAAGAAAGGGGCAAACTCTTGACCCCCCTTCTGATGAAATTAATTTGAGTAATCAATTTGATTTGCTCACGGATGATGAGAATGATCCATCATCCAAGAAAAATTCTAGTAAACTTTCCCGGCTTAATGCCAAGAAGGAAAAGATTCCCCCTATTGTGATAACCACTACCGATTTCCATGCTCTTCGCATGGAACTTTTGAATTTCGTGAAAGTTAAGTTTTCACTACAAATTGGACGTCGGGGTGAATGCCGTGTATTGGCTGAAACCTTGGACGGATTTAAATGTCTTCTCAAGTATCTTACTGAGAAGAAGCACAAATTTTTTACTTACGACACCAAAACTGAACGTGTGTTCAAGGTTGTCATGAAAGGACTGCCCAGTGGTGAATCCCTGGATCAGATCAAAGATGAACTGGCAAAATTACTTGGAGTTGTGCCACTCCAAGTAATCAAAATGAAAATGAAATCCCGTCCTGGCGATTCACGCAACGGGATTTCTAATGATTTTTATTTAGTTCACTTCAAGTCTAGTGAACTAAACAACCTTAAGGCCTTAGAAAAAGCTAGCCTTATGCTCCATGTCCGAGTGAAGTGGGAACACTTCAGGAAGACTGGAGGAAATTTCCAAAACCTCACTCAGTGCCGTAAGTGCCAGGGATGGGGTCACGGAACTAAAAATTGCTACATGCCAGCTAAATGCATGAATTGTGGTGATTCCTCTCACGCAAAGGACGACTGCCCTGTGAAGGAAGATCCTAAGAAATTTAAATGTTCAAATTGTGGTGAAAACCACAAATCCAATTTTTGGGAATGTAAGACTCGCAAAGCGATCCTACAATCTCGTTCTAACCGTCAGGTAGGAAACGCTCCACGTTTCCGACCAGGTACAAATTCCTCTGCTGTTAACAACGGTCAGCGAGGAACAAATTCTACATTCGTACCCGTAGGTACAAATATCTCCCCTGCTTCAAATGTTTCATCTGTACCTACTCCCCTCGCTGCTAACAATGTTCAGCGAGTTAATGGAGCTACCTATGCTGCTATTGCAGCGGGTAGAAATCAAAATACTAACCAACGTTCTAACGGAAATTTTGACAATTTTGACTTAGGAAGCATTACTGCCCCCAAAATGGAATTTTTACAGAATTCATTAATTGACATGATTTCTGATATGCTTAAATCTAACTCCATGTTTGATGCTATTCAAACTGGAGTAAAATTTGCAAATAATATTGTCATGACTTTAAAATTCAGTAATGGATTTTAAAGCATTAAATATTGTAAATTGGAATGCTCGATCTCTTAAAGATAATGAAGACGAGCTTTTTAACTTTTTGAGAGTTCATAACGTGCATATTGCCGTTATAACTGAAACGTTCCTTAAACCTGCCCATAAGGTTAAGAAGGACGCAAATTACTTGATTTATAGAAATGATCGTCTTGATGGACCCTGTGGTGGCGTTGCCATCATTATTCATAGACGAATCAAACATAAAATTCTTTCTTCATTTGAAACCAAAGTTTTTGAAACTTTGGGTGTTTCTGTTGAAACAAAATTTGGACAACTTACGTTTATAGCTGCCTATTTGCCATTCCAATGCGTAGGCCAGCAAAAGAATTTTCTCAAGGGTGACCTCCAGAAACTTACCCGTCATAGGTCTAAATTCTTCATTATTGGTGATTTTAATGCAAAACACCGCTCATGGAATAATGCTCAAAGCAATTCCAATGGTAATATTCTGTTTGATGATTGTTCTGCAGGTTATTACACTATTCAATATCCAAACAGCCCAACATGCTTTTCTTCTGCAAGAAATCCCTCCACTATTGATTTGGTCTTAACTGATTCATGTCAACTTTGTAGCCAATTGGTTACCCATGCTGACTTCGGTTCTGATCACCTTCCAGTAACTTTTGAAATATCCCAAGAAATAATTTGTAATCCCAACAGCTCTACTTTCAATTACCATAGAGCTGATTGGGAGCAGTATCGAACATTTATGGAATATAACTTCGATCCAAACATTCCTTTACAAACCAAAGATGAAATTAATTATGCTCTTGAATCTCTGACTACTTCTATAGTTGAAGCAAGAGCTGCCTCAGTACCAAAATGCGAGGTTAAATTCGATTCAATTATAATAGACGATGATCTTCAGCTCTTGATCCGTCTTAAAAATGTCCGTAGGAGACAATATCAAAGAACACGCGATCCTGCCATGAAAGTTATCTGGCGGGATTTGCAAAAACAAATTAAAAAGCGATTCTCTGCCCTGAGGAACAAAACTTTTGAAAATAATATTTCTAAATTGGACCCGAGTTCCAAACCCTTTTGGAAACTCACAAAAATTTTGAAAAAACCTCAAAAGCCTATTCCAGCGCTTAAAGAAGGTGGTAAAATTTTGATCACAAATTTGGAAAAAGCTCAGAAACTTGCTAAGCAATTCGAGAGTTCCCATAATTTCAGTTTGGGTCTTACTAGTCCTATTGAGAATCAGGTTTCTCGGGATTTTCTGAATATTTTCTCTCGGGAAAATATTTTTGATGATTCCTGGGGGACTGATTTGGACGAAGTAAGGTCTATAACTAAAAAGTTTCGAAATATGAAAGCTCCAGGTGATGATGGAATTTTCTATATCCTCATCAAAAAACTCCCAGAGAGTACCTTGTCTTTCTTGGTAAAATTATTTAACAGATGTTTCCATTTGGCATACTTTCCTGATAAATGGAAAAATGCAAAAGTTGTTCCAATTTTGAAGCCGGATAAAAATCCAGCTGAAGCTTCTAGCTACCGTCCAATAAGTTTGCTTTCTTCAATAAGTAAACTTTTTGAAAAGATAATTTTGAATAGAATGATGCTTCACATCAATACGAACTCAATTTTTGCAGATGAGCAGTTTGGATTTCGCCATGGGCATTCAACTACTCATCAACTCTTAAGAGTTAACAATTTAATTCGTTCAAACAAATCTGAAGGCCACTCAACTGGAGTTGCTCTTCTAGACATAGAAAAAGCATTCGACAGTGTTTGGCATGAAGGTTTGATTGCTAAATTGAAAAAGTTTAATTTTCCACTTTATATTATGAAATTAGTTCAAAATTATTTAACTGACAGAACTCTTCAAGTAAATTATCAAAATTCCAAATCTAATCGACTACCTGTTAGGGCAGGAGTTCCTCAGGGTAGCATTCTTGGGCCTATATTGTATAACATTTTCACTTCGGACCTCCCTGATTTGCCTCAGGGTTGCCACAAATCTTTGTTCGCTGATGACACAGGCATTTCCGCTAAAGGAAGAAGTCTTCGTGTTATTTGCAGCAGACTGCAGAAAAGTTTAGATATTTTCTCTTCTTATTTACAAAAATGGAAGATTTCTCCCAACGCTTCCAAAACTCAACTTATAATATTTCCACATAAGCCTAGAGCTTCGTTTTTGAAACCTAGTAGTAGTCACATAGTCACTATGAACGGAGTTCCAATTTCCTGGTCAAACCAAGTGAAATATCTTGGATTAATACTTGACCAAAAATTAACTTTTAAAGATCACATTGAGGGCATTCAAGCCAAATGTAACAAATATATAAAATGTTTGTATCCTCTTATAAACAGGAAATCCAAACTTTGCCTGACGAATAAACTTCTAATATTTAAACAAGTTTTTAGACCGGCCATGCTTTACGCTGTGCCAATATGGTCTAGTTGCTGCACTACCAGGAAAAAAGCACTTCAAAGGATTCAGAACAAAATTCTGAAAATGATTTTGAAGTTGCCTCCCTGGTACAGTACAACCGAAGTACATAGAATTTCGAATGTTGAGACTTTAGCACAAATGTCCAACAAAATAATTAATAATTTCAGGCAAAAATCGTTGCAATCCTCAATTGCAACGATTAATTCCCTTTATACTTAGATAAGATTTAGTTTTAGTTTTTAGTTTTAAGATATCAATTGTTATACTGACATGCAGGTTAAAAAACCTGTTTAAAATACTGAATTGCCAAGACATGAACAATGTAAAAACACTTAGATATATATCATAACAATTAAGGCTGGTACGTTACTGCAGTAACTGGAGCACCTAGGTTAAAATGAAATGTAATTTATTTTGAATTTGGAACAAATAAAGAGTTAAAAAAAAAAAAAAATCTTTTTAAGTGATGGAAAACTTCTTTTTTTTATAGATAAATCAGGGCAATTGTCATCTCAGAAAGCAAACGTTGGTTAAATTATTCAGTTGTATTCTTTCCGATACTTCACAACAAACAGCCTGGGTGGACAAATTAAATTGAATTAATGTCATTTATCTACTCGGAATCCGATGCCGCAAACAGTTTGGTGGCACTGCATTTGCTCTGCTTTTTCTTCCAAATTGTCTTTTTCTTGCCGCTCGCTGCAGCATTGGTCCCGGGTTTCTTCAGGGGCTTACTACCCAGCCCGCTGGTTCCAACATTGGACAGCAAACTGATGGGTTCCTTTAAACCATCGCCACCTTCCTTCCCCAGCGATTGGCCTTTGTTCCAGCCCAGCTTGGCCAGCATCTGGAATCCCTTGTTCTCGCTGCTTATCTGCTGATCTAAGGAAGCTACTTTGGCGGAAGCCATTTTGACACCAGCATCGCCCTCAACATCCGCACACGCCTTGTACCTTTCCTGAGTCATCTGCCAAATCAACTTCTTCGCATCATCCGGTCCTGTCGTTGGTTCAACCAAAGTTCGACTTCCCAGTCCACTCGTGCCGACGTTAGTCGTCATCGGAATCGGTTCCTTCAGTCCCTGGTCATTCTTACCCAACGATTGACCTTCGCTCCAACCCAACTTCGATAGCATCTTGAAGCCTTTATTCTCACTACTGATCTGCTGATTCACTGACGCTGCCTGTGTCTTGGCATGCTCATTCGAACTGCCTTTCACCTTCCGTCGGTGCGCTGCCCGGTCGTTGTAGTCCACTGTACCCGATCCCGTTGGTTCCACGTATTCTGGAAAAATCAGAGAAGATAGTTAACGAGACCAAACTCAACGTTGCCCGGAAAGCTTACTTTCTTCCTCCAAACCGTATCGCCTCTGCAGCAACTTTAGTCCTTCCTTGTGGCTAACCGGTTTGGTAATCCGGTCGTCCTCCGGCGGTTCGCCATCGCCCGTCGACTTCATCAGCAGTCCCGGTTCACAGTTGCCACAGGTAAAGCTTCCGTCGTGGATGTGGCACAGCAGTTTGGTACGGTTCAACTCGATAACGTCCCCGTGGACGATGTCGAAGGTGTCACTTTCCTGCATGGTCGGTGCCATGCGGGTGCCGTTCAGAAGCGTCCCATTGCGGGATCCCAGATCGAGCAGCTGGTAGGTCGCCCTCTGGCCGTGGTAGGTGAACTTAAGGTGGTACTGAAATGGACAATGGGAAACCGAATATAGGAGATCGCCTGGTGTTGATTCATATATGGCCTCTAAACCTAATGCGTAATGCCTCCAGACTGAACCCATAAGTCATCCAAAGATGAAACGAGAGAAACTTTAACGTTTACTCAGAAGGCCTCTGAAGTTGATCAGTAATAGCATTTGACTAGCTTCTATGCCCTCTGAATTTTATCCGAGAAGGTCATAAGGTCTCCTCAGCTTGACTCATTAGGGCTTTGGAATTGACTCATAATACCTCTGTAGTTACCCCGTTGAGTCATTGAAGTAAGGAGTAAGAAGGTTGAGGTCAGCTAATAAGATCTTTGAAGTTAACCTAAAGACCGCCAAATTTGGCTAATAATGTCATAAGACTTCAAGTTTTACCACATAAGGCATCTGGACTTGACGCTTCAAGAGTTAGTTTACCCATAAGATCTCTACACTTAGACTGCCTGATGATGGCAAATAAGGTGTAAAAAGGGGACTGGATTCAACTCATAAGACCTCCTGAATATATGTCAGTTCCTTAATTGCAACCCATAAGACATCTGGAGCCATATGAGATCTTACATGAAACATCTGGAATTGATTGCTAAGCAATTCTCGCTTTAACCGGTTAGGTTCTTAAAACCATTTCCAGGGTGTCCATTCAAATTTCTTTTTTCAATTCCCGGTTTTTTTTCCCGGTTATTAAAAAAAACCTCTTCTTCTTCTTCGCATTTCAAGCTTATTGCATATCGCATAGTTAGCTTACTGCGTGCTCTCCTCAACTTAGTGTTCTAGATGCACTTCCACAGTTATTAATTGAGAGCTTTCGATGCCTGTACTATTTTTGCATTGGTATAATTGTGTGGCAAGTCCAATCAGTCCCAGGGGGGAGTCGAGAAATTTTCCAACCCGAAAAAAATTCCTAGACCGGACCGGGAATTGAACCCAGCCACCTCCAGCATGGTCTTGCTTTGTAGCTGCGCCTTTACCGACTGAGCTAAGGGAGGCCCCACTCTACCTTAAACAAAAAAGGCGTTCAAAAATAACCCTTTAGATAAAATTTTGTCAGCAGGAATTCCTCTACAATATGCAGGGCTGGTAGTGGGTATTTTATACAATAGTATTGACTACAATAACGAAAAAATTGACCAAATAGTGACTCTAAAACAATAAAAAAGTTTTTTTTTTTTTAATTCTTTATTTAAGAGATTTTTAGCCTTAGGCTAGTTCATCTCTATACCAATAAAAAAAAAAAAAAAAAAGTGACCAATAGTGACATTTATTGATCGGAAAGCGAAGCGATCCGCTTTGACAAATATTATAAATTCCCAAATCGCCATGAGCATTTAACAAGCTTTTTTTTTCAATAAAACAAATGGTTGAAGTATCTTATAAATTTGTTTTCGTAAAATCAGTATTAATTGGATAATCAATAGGTTAATTTGTAACCTCCATTTCCTCACACATTACTCATTTTTCTGCCACGATTTTTTGAAAACCAACCGTTGAATAAGTTGAATTTAGATTCAGATCGCGAATTGGTTGAATTTCGGGATGTGGAAGCTTGAACATAGAAATTTATTGGGAAATCTTGAAATTGAAAAAAAAAACAAATGAGGCGCAGAGAAAAAATGTTCAACGTCTTGAACAAATTTGTCAATTTTAAGACAAGCAAAGATTTAAAGATATCAAATATAGAAACTTCTGTAAAACTTCAAACATAGACAAATTTTCATATCTCTGGAACCTAAACAAGTGTTCTGGATCGTATCAATAATTATCATTATTTTGGAACGAGGAAAATTTTCTCGGAAAATCTCGATCTTCTAAAAAGTTGTAAGATTCTGGTCTACATTTTTGAGATACAGGTATACCTCGATATAACGTAACTGCCACTATTGACTTCCACCGCTGATTTCTAGCAAACGATTATTCAAACAAGCAAAGTAATAACAATATCAGACAGATGAGATAATCCCCAATCTATTGGTAATAATAATGTTTATGATTCAATTGTTTTTAGCGAGATATTGCCGATGGAAGTCAAAAGTGACAGTTACGTTATATCGAGGTATACCTGTATTGGACTTTTTTTTGTTTAATGCTGGTACTTAGTAATTCGCGATGTTTAATTCAAACAAATTAAGAAAGCGTAGAGCAATTTACGATATGTTAGAATGTAAGTTCACAGTCCGAGAAGAATTTAATGTTTCTAAAATATAGAAAAGATTTCATGATTTTAAACATAGAATTTATCTAAAATCTGGGATTGGAAATTTGTTGATTCCGAACTTGTATAAAATACAATTTGATGGGCTTGGAAAAGAACTTCTGAAAAAAGAAGATTCTACTACATGATTTTTTGATGTTTGCCGATACTAAAGCTTCCGGCCTTCAAAGATTTATCGAAATTCAGGACTTTGAAAAAATCACTTAACTATTGATTCTAAACAATACAGTATGTAATATGTAGTAAGGTCAAAATATGTTATTCTCAATTGGGGTTTGGAATTGAGAAGATAAATGCAAGGAAATTCCAATGATGATTTTTGAAATAATCCTAATAGAATCTTAACAGGATTCCAAGAGGATTGATCGGCTGTTGATCAATGGGCACCTTTCTCGTCCGTTCGAAATTCAACGCTCTGTACGGCAAGGGGATCCGCTATCAATGCATCTCTTCGTGATGATCTGCTAGTGGCGTATGCGGACGACATCAGTGTGATCGTCACATCGACCAGGCAAATCGATGAGATAAATAGGCTGTTCACTCGTTTCGAGAGAGCTGCTGGCGCAAAATTAAATTTGCGGAAAACTGTTGCCGTCGATGTTGGCCTTTGCGAAGGCAACAGAATCAACACTCAGTGGCTACAAACAGTCAATGTAGTTAAAATTCTGGGTGTTGTTTTCGCAAATTCAATACGACTGATGACAACGATGAACTGGAATGCGCTAGTGGGGAAGTTCGCACAACAAATGTGGCTGCATTCTCTGCGCACGCTGACGCTGCACCAAAGGGTCATCATGCTCAACACGTTCGGAACGTCCAGGATATGGTACCTCGCGTCCATACTACCGCCGTTGGGAGTGCATACGGCAAAAATCACATCAGCAATGGGTACGTTCCTCTGGAGAGGGACTGTCGCCCGTGTCCCAATGATGTAGCTGGCACGCAGCAGAGAGAATGGAGGCCTGAAGCTGCAATTACCAGCTCTGAAATGTAAGTCACTCGCAATCAACCGACACCTACAAGAGATCGAATCCCTTCCTTTTTATAGATCCCTTCTTTTCCACGATAATCCCCGCCCAGCCATCTCAATAGATCTTCCCGACCTTAGACAAATCCTATCAAACTTATCCCAAATTCCCCACCAAATCCAACAGAACCCCTCCACCGATCAAATTCACCAGTACTTCGTCCAGCAAACTGAGCTACCAAGGGTGGAACGTAACAGTCCAGCAAGTGGCTGGTCACGCATATGGCGAAACATTGCATCGAGGCAACTTACTTCAGCGCAGAGGACGAAGCTTTACTTGTTGGTGAACGAGAAGATAGAGCACCGCAAACTGCTATTCGTGATGCGGCGAGTAGATGACGAAAACTGTACGCATTGTGGCAACCGTACAGCAGAAACTCTCTCCCACAAATTTTGCGCTTGTGCTCGCGCCGGCCCGGCTTGGACGGTTCTTCAGCAGAGAATAGCTGTCATCTTGGGTGGATGGAGGCGACTCGAGTTCGAAGATTTGTTAAGACCTGCCCTATTAAGAATAAACGGCAGACATAGAGTGGCAATTCTGAATATGTTTATTACATATATCTGCTTGAAGCAGACTGCTTCGTTAACGATTGTAACGGAAGAATTGATTTAGCTGATTTGAACTTTCATCTTGATGTAGCAAATTGACGGTAAAACAAAAAAACTTTGTATGCTAAACTGACAAATAAAACTTCACTTTTACAAAAAAAAAAAAAAAAAAAAAATGCTGAGCAAAAATTTCAAGGAAAGTATTTTTTTTATAGTAGTTTTTACACTCTCGGATCATTCGTGCTTTATACGGGTGATATTTGAACTCATGATTTTGAAGTGAGAGGAATGGATTCAGATCTTTATGTTTTACAGACTAATCTCGGTATTCAAACATGTCCTAATCTTGGTATCTGATTAGCACAAAGTGCATAAATTAATGTTTAATTTATCTCTATGTCCAGTGTCGAACATTTGCATGCTAAGCATGATCGGAGTTTGCAAGGAGTTTGAGACGGCATGAATCTGCTTCCCTACCTTGAAGTAGCTTCCTAAAAGGTTCAGCCTTTATACTAGAACTACTTCACTCGGAAAACTGTGGCAAAAGAATTCAAGCAATGACACCATATGCATTCCAATGACAACATATGAAATTCTATAAATTGAGCTATCGTAGTAGGAACAACGCAATCATTCTCTGCTTGATCGTCAAGCAGTTCAGTTCGGTGTTAGCTCGCTCTCTCGAGTTGTTTGAAAAGTTCGTGGCGATATTGTTCGCGCTCTCTCTTTCGCGGTTTGTCGTGCGTGTGTGTGTGCCCCGTAATGGGGAAGCATCGGTCGCGAAGCCCGGCGAAGGTCCAGAACTCCGGTGAAGGAAGCAGCAAGAAAAGGAAGAAGAACCGAGGCCAGTCTGATGGCACGATTGGTCGAGACGATGCCTCTGCGACGAACGGAGATTTCGGTGACGCTGCCGATAAAGAAAATGCTGCTGACATGAGCGCGGCAAGAGTGAAGCTACCTCCGCTGGTGGTGAAAAATGCCCATCTCAACGAGCTCATCGCGGATCTAGCGACGCTGGGCGTTAAAGCCGAATACAAGTTGGGCAGAGTCGGCACCAAGGTGGTGCTCCGTACCAAAGCGGAGTATGACTTGGTCATCGCCCACCTGAGGACTTCCAAGGTGGAATTCTTCACCCACGACATCCCCGGTGAAAAACCGTTCAAGGTCGTCATCAGGGGCCTACCAAATTTCGAC